GAAATAGATTGAAAGTGTTTTCATTGATGTTTAAAAAAAGATTCAGGCAGGTAATGGTTTAGCACTTTACTCAGTCAGTGCCCGAGATATGGGGGAGGGTGTTTTAACGTCAAACGTCAGTGAGACTTCAGATCTCATTCAGAATTATAATGCTTAGTCAAGTAAGCAGGCTCTGGATTGGAATCCCCAAGGAAAACGCAAACGTGGTCGCCCCAGGCAAACTTGGCGGCGCACTGTAGCGGACGAGGCGAAGAAGATCGACAAGACCTGGAGCGAAATCAAGCGAGAATTTCAAGATCGAACGCGATGGAGGACTGTTGTGGATGCCCTCTGCCCCATCTAGGGGACATAGGACCATAAGTCAAGTCTATAGTTAGGCAGGTATATGCTGTCCTGGCATATGAATGCGGCGTGAAGGTTCTCACCATCACATCAGCGTTACATTAATTATTCCCCAATTTTGATCTCTTAACCCGCGACACCGACAATCGTGGGTCCATGACAGTTTAACTTTCCCCCGGGACAAACTTGACCTTCGCTGGTTGGATTTTTATTGGCGGTCAAGCTGTAGATCCTAGCTACACAGGAGTTGCAGCGGTGGGAATGAGAGGTGGGAATAGTCCCGTTTGACTCGCGACACGCCGGGCAGTAAAAGGTCGCACATGACACCCATGATTTGGTTAAAACTTCATTGAGCTTTGGAAACAGAATATTTGAATTGACTTCGCCAAAGGTGTGGGATTAAAAAAGAAGCTCTATGCCGTGTGACATTCAAAAGACCTACAAAATACTAACAATAAATATATGGTAGACTATTTTAGCTTTTTCTTTGGACTTAGGTACTAAATATTTTAAATTAATATTTACGTCTGTCTATGTAAAAAGAAATGAAGTAAAATAAATTCTTTATAGAAAATTAAACGTCTTTTAGGATTAAGACTTTAATTATTACAGAGTGTAAGAGACATGTTCGTTCAGTTAATGTACAATTTGGCGCTAATTAACAAAATTATAATTCATTGTTCAAGTTTTTGACAACCTGTCTATAACACAGTGTGATTGTAAAACGTTCAAAGAAATTCTGGAAATATCTATTACCTATTATTTAGTAAGTGAAAATGTCACCTTGCTAAATTGTTTTAGCGAAGTTTAATTTCACGTTAAACAGAACGGAGCCTTTCCAAATATTAGCCCAGCCAGGTACCTTACAGTACTAAGTGCCCTTCTTTTTGTGCCCCGAAAATGTTCAAAGGATTTAATAAAAATATCCTGGACACTCTTTATCTCAGACCAAAAAACCGTTCCGCCTCAAGTCCCATACTCGCGTAACAACATAGTCGGTGTTGCTTTAACAAAAAATCCTCGTCAAAGAGACGCGTTACAAAAAGACGCATCGCCCCGGGACGGGACGGGACGGGACGTCCCGCACGGGTTTTTGCTCACGCATTTGCGTCATAGATTATGTTGATAGAGGTTCAGATTGTAACGTTTATGCTTATATTAACGTCCTTTACCTAAACCGTGCAAGATTTGACATTTTTGTGCCAACCTTTATATGAAAAGAAATTAATATCACGTCATAGCTACACCTCACCTTGATTTAGTTGACGGTTTTAACATTTTCATGCGATTGGATGAAGAAAGACCGCGTGTTTTTTTTTTCGAGCAATCTCCTGTAAAATGCACATTTTTGACTTACGCACTGTTAGAACTTTACTAAGTATATTCCATATAATGCCTTTGTTCAGAAATGCTTTCTGCTTATTTTTACCGTGTGTTTGCTCAAAAACATATTTTTTCATGGCATAACTCACAATCGGCAGCTGTTAAGAAATCCATTGTGAAGAGATTAAAACGGATTTCAATCTACTTGAATGCACTGGTCTAATTCGTCCAAATGTTCGTCAGTAGGTATTAAAGTCATATCAAACGACATTCTAACTTTATTTGCAAAAGCGCCTCTCTCTTCGCACTTAACATTTCTCGCACGGACAAGAAGCTAACATTGTCATCGTATGTATTTGTAATAGACGCTTTTAGAACAAATGTAAGCTTCGCCGCACACGGACCACAAAGTGTAGCTAGAAGCGGCTTCAAAATGTAGCTGAAGCGCGGAACAGCCACTTGTGGTTGGTGGTCGCCACGCGCTACTTTTACACCCATGCAGGTTCACTGGGGTAAGAGAGAGAGGGCACACAAGTGCCGTGTGGTGGCAAGTGCCCTGGAAAGGGCCTATGTTTTGAATAAACTATTTCATATTTCATTTCTTTTCATTTCATTTCAGTGACAGGTGGACTTCATCGGAAGAACGTCAGCCTGTCCTGTCAGTTCACCACCGGAATTGATTTGCTCCGCATTGCATTCGCATATAATTACTTGAAGACAGATAAATCTATATGGCATCATATCCAGCCAACCAAAGAGAGCTCTGGAGTGCCGGCACCCTACGACGGGAAATGTATGAAAACTACAGGAAAAACGTCGGTTGCGGCGTTTTGTGTTTGTGGCCGGTGGCCCGTGTGCAGCGACCCTGATGCGTATGTGAGTGTTCGTACAGTTCGTCACAAAACACACGGAGCTCGCCGCCATCGCTCACGCAGTATCGCGCTCTGACAGCGCGCGTCTTCCCAAATTAGAGGCATTTTCGCAGATTTATAGCCCCATTTGCATTTAGAGCATTCAAAAAGCCGCCTTAGAATAAATACGTGACGTTTGTACCGACATTATAAGCGTATTTGTTTATTTAAAGTGTGGAGAAAAATGCTAAATGGTGGCAAGATTTAACGGATTTGTTTCGGTCATTTTGTAAAAATTTCGCATTGTGGCATTTGTTTGGTTTTATGTTCAATTTTATAAATCATAACGGAAACTAACGCTATAGGATTATGTTTAGATAATAAGTATCCAATTTGTCACTATTATTAAGAAAATAATGAAAAAAAAATTTTATCAAAGCCGAGAGTGAATAGAGCACTTACAGGGCAAATATGTACCATCCTAGAGTGCATTTCACTTAGCACCAGGTGCGATTGCGGTCAAATACCTGCCTTGTTATGCATTAAAAAAATCTATGATCTAAGCTAAGTACATTTAACCAACCTACTCCGTATAATCAGTGCACTAAGACTGGTGGTGACTTGAGCTCCGCACAGTGATTTCCGAAGCTTAGCGGCGTGGCTTCCGTTCGGAGCTTTGGAGGGGCTTACTCAGGTTATTCAGGTGTACAACCCTTTTACATGTAGGCACTCCTACTGTACATACCTACAAATGATAGGTAGTATTTTTAATATTTTGTCTAGCCAAAGAAATAAAAAAAAAATGAAAATTTTCTGCTAGTAAGCTCTATTTTTTCACTTTGTTAATTCACTCCAGCAACCCAGCGTAAAGTAATACTGTTGTGAAAAATAAACAGTGTTTAAAAACATTTTAGAACTGAAAAAATGCTGAATTATCTCCTGAAGCCAACACAGCCACTCGAAAAACAGAATTACCTAAAATGGAGCTCGCTAAGAGATTAGCTCAAAAAATTCTCTCGACTCCATTTTTAATTAGGAAGGGACTTAATAATCTAAATGAATATTTTATCTGCGATCCGAGTTATTTGTATAAAAGCTCAAACAATGGATTCAATTAAATGACGTCGGAGAGTGCAGCCGCGGCGGGGCGCAGGGCGACGACTCAAGCCACTTTTGTTTCAGAAACAAATGGGAATATTTACTTCTATTAGATACCTACTTTAGTTTTAACTTGATACCATAGCAAACTAGTGAGCACAGAGCCGTATGAATAATCTTCTATAATACTATTGGCAACTCATTCACATGCTGAAACTTGGTCGTTCCTTATTGTTCACTAGTTTATTGCAAGATAACAATACGCAAATAACTAAAGTCACTAACTGTGTTTAAGAATGGCCAAGTAACTAAGATGATTCTCGCGTGAAACAGGCTGAAAAACGTAACTTAGATCTTCTACAAGACCAACCGATGACGTAGATTGTGATTGCGAGACGTATACCTGTAGTTGGGCACAATTAATAGCCCAGAGGCGCTTGTAGTGGAAGTCTACAGTTGACGCTTAATATCCAGTAAGAATATTCCAGAAAGCATCTCTATATTTGATCAAATTAGTAGTAGCACAGAATAATAATAAGTACTACGTACAGAAGTTTTACTTCGCGAAGGTATTTAAAAAAATGTATGCTCAATGTCATTAACAATATGGTGTAATTTAGCCTGTCTCAAGAGTCAAGCACCATTTTGTTGACAAACGTCAGTGATCGGCACTGCGCCGAAGCTATAGGGCTGACTTCGGTAAAATGATGTGACGTGAGGTGCCAAACTTGCGGAAAATGGCGGAGGAAATACATGATTTAGCATGAATTATTGAACGGAAATTTACGTCTTTCACTCTACGAGGGATATTTATTAATTGAAAGGCTTTGTTAAATGTAAAATGTAAAATTATATTGCTTCAAAATAAAATAAATTACATTTCGTTTTGGTAGAAAATTCAAGACAAAAAAGAAAAGTGACAATCGATGAAAAAACGCAAAAAAGTAAAAAGTATTTTCTAACCGGCCAGGCGCGCGGCCAATGAGTTTGGTATGCAACCTCAAAATTGTATTCAATACTTATAGGTCATCAAGACGGACCTGTACATTTCCGCCCGCTAAAGGACATAATTGCAGAATGTCCTTTACTTAGTTAAACAAAACAAGAAACAAACAAAATTTTAATCCATACTATACAATTCAAAGTTAAAGTTAACTATGTACACGATAAGCTTAACCAAAATAAACTTCCTTGCCTTCAGCAGGCATAATAGTAACAAATACTACTAAATAGTTTACGTAGCACATACTCTTAACTAAAACATACTTACTCATTCTGATTAAAAAATTAATAATAAAAATTTAACTTCAACTAAACAAAGTTTTGAGAGGATTGCTACAACAAAATATTAATCATAAGAATTAAAGTAATTTTAACATACACATCATCTTTACATTTCGACTTAAAATTACAATAATTAATTATTCCGCTAATGGAAGCACACAAATTTTGAACACAGGTCTTTTGATCAAAGAATTTTGTGTGCGAACAGTAACCACTCGGGTGATCTGATCAGGGCCAGGATGTTTCTGCTCGACTCTACCCAACAACCACCTGCCAGGAGGCATGCCATCTACTTTGATCAAAATCACGTCCCCAGTTTATTTAGTTACCTTCGGCATCTTCTACCATAATATACACTACAGCTGCATAATCTGTTTTTGACGCATTCGAAACTATTGAATTGAACTTGTTTATCAGAAGTTTTTGTGTATAACCAGCGCGGGATTATCACATTCTTCAATGCACTCAAACTATCACGGTAAGTACACCATTTTCTTAGTAATTCGCTTGGCAGCTCTTCATCCCAGTCGATACCAGCCAACCATAGTTGTTGAATCATTGTTTTTGCTATAATGATGCTTGGAGCCAGCCAGCCTAGCGGATCAAATAGTCTACTTATATCAGACAAAACTCTTCTTTTTGTTACAGGTTCTATTAGAGCAGCAAGATCAACCGAGTACTGAAAGGAATCAGTACGTGGATCCCAGGTAAGTCCCAAGATTTTTGTTATATTTGCATCCATTTCTATCTTGATACCTTCATCTTTATCTCCCACATCTTCCTTTATTTTATGTAGTAATTCCATACTATTACTTATCCATTTTTGTAACTGAAAGCCACCCTTCGCTAATGTAGCTTTTATTTCGCTGTAAATAGAATAACCATCATCTACATTTTCAGTTCCTGTCATGAGGTCATCCATATAGAAATCATTCAAAATGATTTCCTTTATCCTTGGAGATTCCTGAGCTTCATCGTACGCTACTTGCTGTAACGCGCGAACTGCCAAAAATGGCGCGCAAGCGGTTCCAAATGTAACCGTTAGGAGTTCGTGCTCTTCGATTTCCTTTTCAGGATTATCTCTCCACAGTATACGTTGAAAAGACGTATCTTCTCTGTCTACGAGCACCTGTCGATACATCTTTACAATGTCGGCTACTATGCAGATAAGATGTTTTCTCCAACGCATAACGATGTGTCGAAGATCCGCTTGCAAGGTAGGCCCTACCATCAAGTTATCATTCAAAGATATTCCATTACTACCTTTGCAGGATGCATCGAATACGACACAAACCTTTGTCGTTGCTCTGTCTTCGCGGATTACAGCATGATGGGGTAAGTATAAACCTTTTTTATTAACTTCCTGCTTCGTCACTTTTACCATGTGGTTCAATTCTGTATATTCATGTATCACTTGACTATAATCGATTTTCAATTTTATGTTCTTTAACAGTTTAGCTTCCAAACCCTTAAATCTCTTTTCAGCTATTTGTTTAGATCCACCTTCTGCACAGCTTCGAATATCATCCTTGAACGGCAGTCTGACTACATAACGACCACTTTCATCACGTCGTGTGGTGGCTACGAATAACTGTTCGCATTTTACCTCTTCTTCAGTCAACATCTTTTTGGCCACACAAGGTTCTCCTTCAAGCTCCCAGAATTTCTTCAACATGTCATCATTCTCCATACTTACATGCATAACTGTAGTGTTAGTAAATGAATCGGTCCCNTTATCATGAATAATATTAACTACTTATTTACCTCATAGTGTCTTGAGCAACTTAAAAAAGTACATTCTGTGTTTTTATTATTATTTAGGCAGTTAAATACTGCACAGTAACAGTATTTAGTACACCATTTTCTTTATTTTCTTCCATCATACACAAGAATACGCGTGCGTGAGTCAATGTTCGCTCGTATGTGAGGCCTTGTCGAATAATATCCTGTAGGTGGGCCATCGTGCGTGTTTTGTTTTCGATGTAAGCTCGCGGAGATGAACAGGCCTGGTAGTAGTGACAAAGACTGATCATAGCTATATGAAATGAATCAATTCAAATGAGCTTTGTGATCTTAGCAAGCTATGGTCGGGGAGGTCCGAGCCGAGCGTAACGGTAAAAAGTAACGAAATAGAGTGCGACGCGGCGCGCGTTACGTGAGCGGCTAAATATGGATGAGTCTCTTTCTATCGCTGGGTGCTTCATCGCGGTAGACTAGGAAAATGTCACAACCATTAGAAGGTAGTATGATGACGTAGTTATGTGCCTAAAAGAAACGCTACCGTACAGCAGTTCTGTTTAAAACTACGCTGTGAAACGGTTTTCCACAATAGTTTTAGAATCAATCCAGGTGGGATACTGATGATGACGATAATTAATAAATAATGCCGTTAATCACATTAATATAAAGGCGAAAGTTTATGAGTGTGTATGATTGTTAGTTATTCGCGCAAAAACTACTGAACGGCTTTTGATGAAACTTTACAGCGTTATTGTTTATAACCCAGAAAAACAACATATGCTAATTTACGCCGATCTGTGAGAAACTGAATTTCACGCAGGTGAAGCCGCGGGCAAAAGCTAGTAATAATAATATAATTTTACAAATTACAATTTTCTAATTTTAGTTCCCTGCGAATTGAGACCAGGAATTTCATTCAAAGCTTGACCTTGGAAGCGTTAGTAGTGTCAGTTCATTAGTGAAGCCAAAGAGATAGTGACTATCATCTTTTTATGATGTTATAAAGTACAAAGACCGGTATTGTGATTTTCTGAATGGGTTCCAATAATGTATCAACGAAATAATATTGTACAGGTCAAAGGCCATATAGTTCGAGCAGCCTTTTCAAAAACAACTATTAACAGTTTCTTATGAACCGAATTGATTTCTCTTGTAAGTAGCAACACATTCCTTTGTGTCCGGATTTCTTTGAGTTTCTTTATCTACCCCCACACTTGGCGTGAGTGGTTTAACACGTATTACGATTGTACCCAAAAGGTACCTTAATAAAATATGAAATGCCCTGTGAATTCTTGCTTTTTGAAGGGTCTCTTGAGGGTCGGCATTTAACTAATACAGCTTTGTGGCAAAGCCTTCTATTAGGTGGAACTTTTGTTTCAAAGGCGGTGGAGAGGCCAGCGATGAGCTTTGGGCCAGCCTTGTGATGTGACGGAAAGGCCTCTTGACTTCAGCCAGACCACTTGTAATAATATAATTTAGACCATGACTTTTTTATTTGTACTTAAATCGCCTAACAAGATTATTCGTAATGTAATTTCTCAGTGATTGCTCGCTCAGCTCTCTCGTGCGGTTCCACACTAGACACTTAAAATTAATTCATAGAAAATTGTATTTGCTTTAATAGCGAATCAAATTAATTCTAGACAAATATCAAGGTATAAAGTTATTGAACGTGAACGCTTTGGAACTAACTCTAAACAGATTAAACAAAAATAAATAACTGTCTGGGGACCGACACCATTGTTATTAAAAGCAATTTTATTCTGATATGGTGGGATCAGGTCTTTTAGTCTATGTAGTAGTCTGAATTTTCTTGCTGACTAATAGGTTCGCAAAAAATGTGCTTCTGAAACAAACACTCACTTTATAGAATTATCGCAAATCTAATTTTCTAAGTGAATGCTCCCGCACATTCTTCTTAAAATGTGCGTTAAAAAAAAATTCATAGCCTGATTCATGTTTTTAAACTTATTTATACGATGCCGTTTGTTTCCAAAAATGCATGATTACGATTTTACTCGTTAGATCAAAGGCTGCCTTAATTGAGTTATCTCTTGACATGGTGTTTTGACACCGTAAACTTTTGCAGTATAACTCGTTACGTCGTTCGTTCTAAACAGGGGCTGTAAAATCTTTCCTAATATGGCTTAATTAGACGACAGCAATCAGGCGAGCTGTAGACATTAATTGCGTTATCAGCGCTCGCGGCTGGAGCGTCAAATGTTGTGATAGGTATTGAGTTGGAGTTATTAGTGGTTGAATGACGAAATTTATTCAATTGTTTGTTAAAAGATTTAAAAAATATACTTGAAATAAATAAAATAAATTTTACTTTTGCCTCTAACGTAACGTAAACACTCTATTTGTTACCGTTAACAACACAATTTCAATGTTATTTATTTAATCGTTATTAACATTTCTTAGCGAATAGAGTCGCTTCTGAAACTAAATTTTTAAATAAACAACTTGAAAAAATCGACCTGCCTAAGGCGGGACTCGAACCGTCAGTTGGAAGAGCAGTCGCCCGGCAAGCGGAAGGTCGTGGGTTCGAGTCCCGCTTTAGGTAGTTCGATTTTTTCAAGTTGTTTATTTAAAAATTTAGGTATTTATTTATTCAATGAGAAAATACAACTGCGCGAGGGTACTCGATGTTTCTATGAATCTAAAAGTCGAGATGTATGAGTTGTCAAATTGTTCAACATCATTTAATTGCAGAAGATCGCAAGAGCTTGGAGACATTAATTACGTCATTGGGGGTGCGGCGGCTGCTGACAATGTTTTGATGGGCGTTGAGAAGATAAATATCTGCGTCGAATTAAAGGGACAAAATGATTTCATTTTAATTGATTGCCTGGGAGATAGAGAAGTATAGAGTTTTCTTCATAACATTCAAAGTGATGCTGTACTATTATTACGGGACTATTTTTTTTTATCCACAACGAGGAAGCTCTTGGCCTGTATCTCACCTGATGGTAAGTGACGATCAGGCCGAAGGTGGAAGCGAGCTTCACCCGGAATCCTCAACCACGGAGGAACTGGCTATCTTACCTCTAACTGCCGAAACACAATAATGCTGTTAACATTGTTGTTATGGCGACAGACTTAGGTAAGATGGTGGTAGCTAGCCAGACGGACTTAGAACAAGCCCTACCACCAACCTAACCGAACAGAAAAATCTGCCCCCACTGGGAATCGAACCCGGGACCTCTGCGTCTGAAGCAGGTGGTCTTACCACTAGAACACAGGTGGTTAAGTCTGCTAGCGGAAAAACTGAAAATTAATAAATAATCATGCAAGTTTCGTGCGCTGCTTCTTCCCAGCACTGGCCCATTTATTGTCCCGAAGCAGTGGTAGGGTTAAAGTAAAACCTACTGGGACGTGGAAAAATGCGTTTTAAAAACCTACTTGCAATAAATAAGGAAGGAAAGTCGAACCTTCACTTCGAACTCCTCCTATGTCCTTCTGATTTAATTCGTTGCGGGTCTAATCACAGTTTTACTGGTTTTACTTTCTCCCGGGACTAACTTGACCTTCACTGGTTGTGTTTTATTGGCGGTCAAGCTGTACGTCCTGGCTACAACAGGAGTTGCAGCGGTGGGAGTGGGAGGCGGGAAAATTTACAATAAATATTTGACATTTATGACTTTTAATAAAAATCATCAGAAAGTCAACTCGTTCAAAATTATGCGTGAACCGTTCGAAGTATATTTCAATTTGAAGCACTCGTTCGCTGGCGCTTGATTCGCATTTATCAAGAAATGTTATTGCAGAAGTTCGCAACTTGTCGAGCAGCGAGTGTATGCCGCGTACAGTCACCCGCGAGAGTGCAAAGTCAAAGTCAAAATTCCTTCATTTATATGGACTACTTATTAAAAATAGGTAGCGCTTGCAAATCGTCAAATATTAAAAAAAAATTATTAAAAATAAAATTTATTTATTTTAGGACATGGCCCAAAAAAATTCAATAATAATTAAATCACATGAACAAAAAAAAATTAAAGACTAATGAACAAAGCTCTTAGGGAGCCTTCACGTGTCTCATAATCTTGGTCCTACCAGCGCTTCGAGACCAACATTTGGCAAGTGCTGAGAAGAAGACGAATTAGGAATACAAAGTATCAGCCAAAAGAGTAAATTCAAATAGCTACATTTCAGTATCAGTCAAAAGAGCAACTTCAAATAGCAGCGTGCTGCATTCGATTTTGTAATGCAATTTGGTTTTGAACCGTGTTCAAGGGAAAGATGATATTTCCATTCCAATAAAGCCTCATTTGGGAATTGAATCGTAGACTACTGCTGTCTAAATGACTGCTCTTTCACTGAGTTACAATGTAAAGGTAAATGCAGTAACAATGAAACCATTCTGAACAGAGGTGGAATTGTGTAAAGCAATCGTAATCATTTGACAGTTCGTAACGTACGATAAAGTCAGTTAAAAAAAGCGTTTGACAGAATAATCGTACGTTATGAACTGTCAAATGATTACGATTCCTTTACACAATTCCACCTCAGGTGGGAATCTATAGATTTAACATTTTTGAGTAAGTTACGTAATGTCTTACTCTTTATGAAACACTAATTATTGGGTTTCAAATCTTTAAGACACTATAATAACGTCATTGAAAAATGTATCTGCCTGTACTTGTCGCCAGGCGACAAAATGTTTGCAAAAATATGCGCGAGTGTTGCCGGCGACTTGGAAGCGTTGCCAGCGAACTGATTTAATTTCCGCACATTTTTAGAGTTCCACGCAAAAACGCGCGATCCATTTGTTTGTCATAGTTCCACAGTTTTACACCGATTTCGGGAAGTGTAAAACGTTTTTTTGCGGGAAAGTTACTCGCTTCACTGACGTTTGGTAAAAGAAAAAGCTTTATGCAAAAACTTTGGGTATGAGTTTGGCAGTTGGTTTGGTTTTATCGTTTCTGTTAAGAACTATATCATTAATGGTGCGCTATTCTTGACACACAATAAAATAAGTAAAT